AACTCACCCACTGCGCATCAGCAACTGGCGTACATTTGTGCCACGATGTTAAACAGTAGGACACTTTCAGATCAGCAAAAAGGAATACTGACCGTAACCAGGACCTTTGCTTCTTCTCCAATGACAGTAGCGGCATTAAGCTTCCTGCTTCCAAGGCAGTGCTTGGATTCTTTCCAAAAAGCCAGCACAGCCCCGCTGTAATCCGAATCAGTTTGCAGGTACCACTAATTCAGTCTGCTCCACTAACTCGCTGGAACATTAAAAAAACAAACTGGTCATCTTGCACTGCCGAAGTATAAGATTGTGTTTAATGGGTCTTGCCTACAGCCCAAGTACTTAACATTTTTGGTCGAACATTGATCTCATCCTGCGATAAACAACATCTTTCGTGGATACCGAAAGACCTACACCCCTTGCTGGTCGAAAGAGACAAAGGAACTTTACATGGAGTACAAACACCGAAGATCTCCTGAAACTGTAGCTGCTCTCGTCGAAACCTTGAATTCAGAGTGGCGATGGTGCAAGACTGTAGAAACACTGGATTTCACAAATTCCAGTCGCAAGGCATGGGCATTGCTCCGCTATCTTGGCGGAGTTGAACCCACAAAGCACCGAGTAGCGAAAGTCTCTACTGACGCCATTGATGTTCACCTCTTCCATATGTTTAAAACACCGACAGATAGAACTGCCGCAAGATAATGCAGAAAGAATATTTTCTTGCCTTTAACAGCTGCCCTGAAACAAGTTCACTATCCACCCGATACACTCTAAAGAAAATAAACGTGGCACTGTTGGTCACGAAGAACAAGAAGGCTGCTAGCGTGGATGAAATTTTTCCGGAATTTCTTAAGAACTAAGGTCCAAAGGGCCGACAGTAGCTGGTCTCTCTTTTCACGGCAATCCACACAACAGGAAAAATATCGTCTGCCTAGCGACTTGCCAAAGACGTCGCCCTCCTAAAGCCAGGATAACCTCCAGAGAGGCCAGGCAGTTACAGATCTATCTCTTTACTGTGCACGGACAGGAAACTGATAGAGCAAACTTTACTGACTCGACTTTCTCCTGTAATTGAAGCTGCCCCCCCCCC